ATGTCGGCAAATTCCGCGGAATTTGAAGAAATGCAGTTTTCAGATCGATACGTATATATTTCCTTTCTGCAAATTCCGCAGTTCTGCATATTCCGCATTTCTGCATCATGTATGAACGCGGCCTAATTGCTTAGCCATAGGTTAGCAAGAAAAGATGCAGGCTCTGCATACGGCAGCATAAGGCCATCGAGCAGAAAAGCAACTACAAAGCAAAATAATGTAAAGTGTATAAAAGTATGGAACTCTTAGTCCGAAGGAAATCATCGCGAAAAATGCACTAAAGCTGGCTGTTTGCAGGCGGACCTCCGTATCTTGCGAAATACGCAACTTAGGTGGAATGGTGATTCTGTAGAATGCGCGAAAACGAAAGTATAAAAGTTTGGAGGATCCGTTATTCAGAGTCACTCGATTTCCTATGCTACTTTTTGCTGCTTATTCTCTCAGCCTACAAGCGTACTTCACGTCGCCGTTTTATCGTCTTGGGCGAAAAGGAAGAATCGATCTAGCGATTTGGAAGAAAAGCCGGCGCTTTGAGCATTCTTTGGCAGGAACGCCATGCTGAGCGGAATGGAAAGCATAGACATCGATCTAAAGTTCTGACCGTTCTCCTAAACGCGCGAAGCGCCAGACAGACACCAGTGCTTTTCTTTTCGCCCAAATCGCCAACACCGAAAGCATGAACACAGCTTTAAAGTGAGTATTCTTCAAAATTATGAACTCTTCACACGCTGCGATTGCTTCGGGTCGAGAACTGACCAGAACCTGAACCTAGTAAGGTGCAAACCTACTTGAGGAGGGAGGGGCAAAGTGACTCTTGAGTGCTCTGGATGCTCCGCAAAAGCTAAGCTTCCCTGCCACACTAACAACGCCTTATCAAATGACACAGGATGAAAGTTAGCAGCAACAGCCATGCTTTTCGACAAAATTCACAGGGTGTATTCGCACTTCACCTTGCTATTCTAATCGATTGACTTCCCGTTTGAAACATACTGTAAGTCTTTTCTGGGTTGTTTGAAACACTGTCTCGGCAAAGACGGAGCATAAGAGCAGCGTGCCGCGTGGCCCTCTCCGCACCGATGCTAGCACCTCTTTAACTTCTGAGAAGCAAACCATGTCGGTATTTCATGTTTGCACCACATAGACCATTTACCTAATGGATTCAAGTAGACCGTAAAACGATACATAGCGCAGTGCCTGTCAGAGCAAGAAAGAACCCTGAATGATGGAAGAATAATGCGGTCAACGCATGAAAGAATAAGAAATATATAGAGGCAATTCGCAGGTAGCGGTATGATTACCTAATGATAACCGTCACGATGGTCACGATGCCCTTAAAATAACTTTCGAATAGACGCGTTGAAATTAAAAAATCGCTTCACTTTGAAACAAACAACAGTGTTAAACATCATACCTCCTTATAAAGCTTGTCGTACGTCGCCTGATCGAACAGAACCATGTTGTTGAGCTTATCTCTGACTTTTCCCTTGGACCACTTCTTCTTCTTGGCCTTTCCTCCGGATCCCTCTTTCTTCTTGCTTGGAGGGGCCTTACCTCCCTTAGGGTCGGTTTTCTTTGTTGCCTTTGGAGGCATATTACCTAAATTGGATACGACATTGGAGGAGGCAAATAGAAGACCTTTGAAAACAGCTTTCTTCGACACAACACATTTGTGAGCAAGCTATGCCTCAGTAGTACAGAGCTAAACCACGGCACAAGTGTCGCATAATTAGCACACAACTACACAAGAAATCATAAATTACACATTACAAATAATGAAAGCAAAAACACCAATTTTAGGATTAGAAAGATGCATCCATAGGTAAAGAAAATGTGCAATGATTTCATTCATAAACTAAGATTACTGTAGAGCAGTCGCGATAAGACCAGCCGTAAAATTTCTTTTGTGGTCCTTGAGAAAGAATTGTCATTGGAGCGCAGAATCCTTCATCAGTAAAATCTACATAAACATTTTTATGCGTTTTATGTGTGAAATCCTGTGCAGATTGTATCAAGTGGTCCACACCGTATACTTGTTGTTGATAACCTCTATTGAGTCTCGGTAAACATGGGAATTGTATTGGGTCGTTATAAAATAGCAGTCGGGTTTGGTGCCCTTTTATTGAGAAGCCCCATACTGTTTCGGTTTAGGTTCGCAGAGTCGCATTTTGGAAGACGAGCGACGCTTGTCTTCTGAAACATGGCTTTCAAAATGGAGACAAGTCAACTGAAAATAGCGGAGAAGCTTGTCATTCTAAATGATCGTGCCGTTGGAATGCTGACAAGGATTTATAACATAAAAAAGGCGTGTGCAGGTACGTATTACGAGTGACTTCCTCCCATATCGTTGGTTTTCGTGTATATTGAAATGTTTCGAGCTTATAATTTTCTTTTGAGATCCCAAATCGAAGCCGGCCTTCCTCAGTGACAAACACATGGAGAACGCCGTTAAACATATTGCACGTAAATTCCCTGTTGTTGACGCTAGGATGAATACTGTAAGACTTAATATTCGTTTCTTATGGTTACCATTAGCACTGTTGAATCTTTGTTTGATTTTAGTCTACGTTCCACTTATGTTGACACAATGAAGGAGGACATTATCAAGTCTCTTGGTTTGTACTATTACACATTCGCTGATCTCTTGGATCTGAAGGACAACATACTACAGCTTCTGACCACTATGGATGCTTGCCAATGTCAACTCGACATTGTGAGTGCTAAATGAAAAGCTGGAAAAGTTCACCAGAAGCCCTTCGGTTGTTATTGAAGTTGAACTTTTTCTTTTCCAGTCACTGAATTATGAACTTACTGCGGGTTACCTCAACTTGGTTGTGAATCTTATTTGTCTGATGATTATGCTTTCCCGCGTCGATGATCGTAAAATAGTTTTGGGTATGTTCCTGAAGAAAAGAAGACATTTCTATTTATTTGGTATTGATCTGTTTTTTAGGCCTATTCAACGCTGCATATGATTTAACACACGTACAAAGTGAAGCTTCGTTTCCTCGTTTGGGACAAATGATTCTGGATTATGAGCATCCTTTCAAGAAGCTCAGCGAAGACCTGGGTCCATTGAATCGGGTATTTGTTTATTTATAGTTATAAGGTTAGAAAGGCACTTTCATCAGAACGATTCGGCTTTAGCGCGATTCGTGAAAAATATTTGAGCTGCATGACTGGCTTTAGTGAAGTTTTAGAACTAACCAATAATACTGGTGACCTGAGAAACTTTTAAGAAGTTCGTTTCTTAGTTTCCAGTTGACGACATTGTATGCTCCTGCGGCTCCTTTATTGTCTTCGTTATGAAGTTTCAGAGCGATACTTATTTAAGACTCATTTTCCATTTTTAGCTGATTTCGTCAGCGCTTTCTTCTCTTTCACCGGTCTATCTTCGTCGAAATATCACTGCTAACACATGGAGGAATGCTCAAATTCTCTCTCTTACGGCCAATCCCCACCAGATTTTATATGCAGCTCAAACGGATACGGTATGTGATTACACTTTCTGAAATATTGTTCTGAGGCTGCCTTTTCGATAGTGAACCCACATTTATCTGGAGCTCGCGCTCAATATAAGCCAGGACAAGGAAGTATCCTGGTGCTTTGTGACTTCGCGCTCGAAATTCAGGAGTGGTTTCGGATAAAGGAATGACATGGGAAGGGTCGAAAGAGTAAGAAGCGTAGAAGCTCACCGCCACAATTGACCTTGAAAGGTCATGATTGGGTCTTCTTATTTTCTGCCCTCTCATAATTGGTACGATTGGGATCACCATCAGTAATAAGCCTTCGCTGAACTTCTACTCCACACATCGTCTTGTCGCTAGCCCAAAATCGGGTTTGGCGCCGCAAGGCCCATCCCTCCTAAAGCGCTTAATCATCCGCGGCGAACGTGACTATAGATGCCACTTGAGACAGACGATTTTTAGATCGCTTGCGAATACCTGTCCCTGGATGTCATGGATCGATGGATTGTCTGTAAGTTAGAACATTTTCTAAGATTTCATTTTTGATTTCAAATGGAATGTTTAAGTGTGTACTACCGTCTGTCACTCCTCTTTGTTGAACGACAAGACAATATTCAATCTATGGCAGATGTCCCTTCAAATGGGTGTTTGTATACGGCTATTCAGGGACGAGGTCACTTCCTTTTCCCTATCTTGTTACTTCTTGATGTTCAGCCTGTTTTGTCCAAGTTGATCGTTGAACGAAGTTCAGATTTTGCAAACTCATCATGAAGTTCAACAGTTTTTCGACTCTATAAAGGGGTATCATAAACGATCTCAGGAAGTCAAGGACTGCTTCTCGATAGCATTACAACAAAGGTATCCCACTGCCTTCTTGCCCATTGTCGTTACCTTCTTTGGGACACCGATTAGGAAATGAGATTTCAGCGCTTCTATTCATGCTGATCGTCGACGATTTCTCCGAGTTGCACTGCGTGAACTCTGTCTTTTCATCAAAGACCAGCCTGGTTTACTTGGTCCTAAGATACTTTTTGTTTGGATGGCTCTCTCTTTTACCAGAGATGAGGTAGGGTAGCTTTGTTAGTTCTGATGACCGTAACTATTAGTGCTTTTTTGAAGGTTTTATGGCTTCTCCGACATCTCAGTGAATGGCCTTCGTCGAACAAGAAAGGAATCAAACAGTGTGATGAGCTAGTGGATCGTCAATTACCCGAACTTCTTTACTACATGCTTGAGTTAAGGCAACTAGTGCTGAAGCATAGCGATGTTATACAGCGCTACTACTTGAAGGTTATTTTTGTTCACGTTATTTTCCCATTATTTTTTTACTGCACACGTTACTTTTTAGTATGTGAATGGTTACGATGCTATCATGACTCGTGAATTGGTAGCAGGTATTAGTGACCTGAACGAAGAAGATTCACTCATTTTATCTGACTTCGCTTCCTCAATATCTTCAATTAATTCCGACACGGACCTACGGGCTTTGCGACTGGATTGGTTCCGTTTCCAGGTCAGTTCTGCACGGCTGTCACCTTCGTTTCTTGTAGAAGTTGTGTCGGTGTTTGCAGTATTCATTCTCTGAAGAGCCCCACGCTCAACTATCTCGTACGACCCCTTCTTTGTCCAAGTAGTCAGGTACATACCGTACCGTGCCATACCGCATGTAATTGCAACTTATGAGTGCAGCGCTCTCGTCGGTCATTGTAGAGCCGCGAAAATGGGACATTCTTTGCGATCACCCACTGGACTACTTGTGCAAGGAAGGAATCCTGCAAATCTATTGAACTCGGGGTCGATCCTTTGATGGTGCTCATAACACGTGACATAACCCTTATAATGGGAGGATTGGGAGCGGCAGGAGGTGGCGATTCTTCCTTTCAAATGCTCTGAGCCGTCCATTTGTTAGTAATCTCCATTGCACCCCAGTTGCACACAACTCCAGCAGAAAACGCTTTCAATCGTTCTCGGTTTTCTTTTTCAGGCGCAAAATGAGTATGCGAGCGTCAGCCGTGTGCGCTGCAAAATCGAAAATTTGGCAATTGTGATGAACACAAATGTTTTCCATTTGAAAATGATCGATTTGCAAGACGAGATGCTCAAGGAAACCAGCGACCTCAGTGTTTACTGGTGAGGCTTGAGACACTCCTGGTCTTTTCGAAGACGTCTTCTTAGCTGACATAGTTTTAGTTTCTATGTAAAACGGTGGAAAGGCAGTGGAAGACAATTCGTCTCACACTCCCATCGTCAGTCGTAGGTTTCGCGCTCCTGGTTTGCCAGAATTTGCGGGCCACTTTCAGGCTCGTGTCCTCTCTTCATGATTGGCTATGCCTAGCCCTGAAGAGAAAGATCCATCCTCGGAGAAGGTGGGCTTATTTGTTTACAGTTCTTCATTCCCGTCGTATTCTCTTTGGGCACTATTTACCCTTTACTGCCCCAGCCATCCGAAATCAGGCCAGTTCCTGACCGACTTTTTTCTCCGTGGGCAGAATTTGCTGAAAACTTGGCTCCAGGGGTAGTTCGACCCGCTGAACACGAATATCGCATCCGCTTGACCCGAAACCTTCCTGGCGCCCGCGCCACGGGCGCCGGCGCCAAAATACTCGAAATCACCAAATTCGCTGAAAACGTTGCTCCAGGGTAGTTTTGAACCGCCAGGGCTGAAGCACGAAATATCACGTCCGCTCAACCCGAAACCTCCTGGCGCCCGCACCACGGGCACCGGAGCCAAAATACCCCAAATCATTGGCGCCTGTCTCGCGGGCGCCAGGAGTTTCGGGGCGAAGCCGAATGTGATATGGTATTTGGCAGGTCCAAACTACCCCTTCTCTTTTTTCCATTTGGCTATTCATGTTTCCTTCGCACTTCAAGTCCTGGCAGACTGCTCGTCGTCCTTTCTTCTTCTATATATGTTGTTATCGGGTTTTTCCTTCCTATTATTCGAATTGCTTATTATTTATTAATACAATAGTATTGCTTACCACGAGCTTATAACCACACGTAAGGTGATCGGCTGGTTATCTATCGAATCATTTTTCGCACATGGGCAGTCTGGCATCACGGAGGTAAAACCTCTGTAACCATTTTCGCAGCTTCGAAAGTGAGTGGCAAGGTCGCTAGAAGACGACCACTATAATGAGACTCTGCCCACAGAAATTACTCTTCTATTCTGTATTGGGATTCACAATAACTGTGCAGTTTCCCTTGTCTGGTTACCCTTTACTCTCTCATAACTCATCGTCAATTTCTTTTTTTTGTGTTGCGCGTCTCAGTGCACTTTCATGTACATATCGCAAGCAAAAAATATTCTTAGTTGGGTGTTTTCAATTTTTTTTTGCTTCTATGCTGGTAACTTAGTTACCACGAGCTGGTTGTTTCTTAACTCTGCTCTCAATTTGCAATCGTGGACTGTACATTCAAGAAACATGCTCCTTTGGCCACCTTAGAAAAGACTTTTCGTTCTTGATTTCTTTTTTGATATTTCATTTTGATCTGTTCAGTCTCTTGCCATATGCAACTCGATCTTGGATGATGTATGTCAGTCAATTACCGACGTTGTTGGTGCCCTATGCGAGTATGAGTTGCGACTGGCAGAACAAACATCACCTACTACTGTCAGTGACAATGCTATTAGAGTATCCCACTCACTATTGATTTTTTAAATTATATTTATTTTAGATAGCCGCTCAGATCGTCACACAGATGTTGCGCACCAAAGGAGGCAAAGCCGCTGCTGCAGCTGCGGCTGCTCAGAAAGACCCTATACAAGCTGGAGAAGAGAGCTATCGAGTAGACCGGCAAACGCTGACCTATCCGGACAAACTGCTTACAACTTTGAGTAGGTTTGAGAGAATGATATTTTGGCTGTCGTTTTTGTAGTGTCGTCCAGTAATGGTATCTCGAAACATGATTCAGAAGTATCATTTTTTCTCACTTTATCCGTTTCAGTCGAACTCTGTGCAGGAATAGGTCAGTATCGTCAGCTGTTCATATCGGATCACTTTTTTGCTCCCAGAGAATACCTGAGTCAGCACATCGAGCACAAATTCGTTGACCTTATACTGGCAATGGCATACGATTCCGGTTTGTTCTCTGACCCCAGGTTTTATCTGTGTTTCAATGCTGTCAAAATAAAACTTTAAGGGTCTACCACGCCTCGGAGACCTTCTGATCTACTGATGATCATCCATTCTTACATGACTGTTCTGCAGAATATTGATGCTTGTGGTAAGTGCGTTTCCTGAACTATTGAAAGCCTTACTGATTCCAAGAGTAATGGTCTTTTAAATTAATAAATAGCTTAGAAGAATGATGAGCTTTCCGATTTTGGCACTATTTACCCTTTACTGCCCCAATCATCCGAGATGAGGCCAGCTTTAGACCGGCTTTTTTCTCCATGGGCAGAATTGTATAAACTTGTCCCCTGGGTAGTTTGACCTCCTGAACATGAATATCACATCCGCTCGGCACGAAACCTCCTGGCGCCCGCGCCACAGGCGCCGGCGCCAAAATACCTAAATCACCAAATTCGCTGAAAACTTGTTCCCAGGGGTAGTCTGACCTCCTGAACACGAATATCACATCCGCTCGGCCTGAAACCTCCTGGCGCCAGCGCCAAAATACCCTATATTACAAACGCCTGTGGCGCGAGCGCCAGGAGGTTTCGGGAGAGCGGGTCTATTATTCTATTCAGAAGGTCAAACTATCCCAGGAGACAACATCTTGAGCCAAGTCTGTCCACAGAGAAAAAAGTCGGTTAAGAAACTGGCTAGATCCGGATGATTGGGGCAGGAAAAAGTGAATAGTGCCCCGGTTTTCAATCATCAGGTCGCTTTAGAAGTTTTTAATTGTTTTGATATAGTAGCCCAAGGTAATGTTGCGCAGTTACCTTTGGATTATAACGCCGCCTGGTTCATCAATGTGCTCCTCTCCAACAAACCCACAAGAACCGCATGGACTCACTCAATAAAGAAGAACTGGATGACATATATCTTTTAGCAAATGGTATATAATTCCTTTCCTTTTTATATGCACATTCAATTTCTTAGCGCTTTGTGAAAAATTGTAACAACGGGACATACAGCAGCTGCCGCAGTCACGAACTTGCACTCACAGTCTGGTTCGGTAGGTCATAGGGGTGACCGTGCTTGCCACTGAGGGCGGAAGGTCGTTTTTGGCTTCTAGAAGTTTTTTCAATTGCTCATTTTTTTCATGTCCACGCGTGCTGTATGGTACTGTTCGTTGCGGATGCTGAGGCTTTTCAGGGAGATCTGGGTTTGCCAGCTCGTTTTCCACTTATCTGTCGTTGTCGCCCTCGATCAATATTGTAGAAACGAACTAGTACGCAGTCAAACCAAACGCCATCTTCACCACGTGACACGTCCCAGCTATATACTTAAGCTAAGATGAATGTATTAATATTCTGCCCCGTCAACATAATTTGTGGCTCTCGCATGAAGTACTCTTTTTTGACCGTCGTTTATTGAAGCCTCGCACTACCGTTCCCACGTTCGTGGCCAGATTTTGGGATAGAACTTTGTAGGTGGTTAGGCGGTTTATCCACCCGAGACAGTTTGCGCTATGTTGATATTATTTTTGAAATAACTTTGCAGTATAGTTATTCAACAAACAACACTGAGCTCACTCAAAAAACTAGTGACCTATTGACTCGCACCTGCGGGGGTGGGGTTAGTCATATTAGCGTCTGACTCTCTCTACTGCTTCTGATAGTACGCTAGGCCGATATTTTAGCTCAATGATCCAAAAATTTTGCGTAGCAGGCGCGCGTAAGTGCCCCTTAGAATAGTAGATGTTTGTTTGTAGTATAATTTCTTTTCTTTCACGGACGTATTATTTGTTGTATTCCCTTGTGACGTTTCCCTTACTAGTTGTACCTTCATGGTATTGGACAGTGGTTTTACGCCGTGCTTCTGCTGGTCACACATGCTATGGAGTGAACATCTGCAGGCAATGATTTCAAGTGGAGAAGGGAACGATTTTGCTCCGGAACAGTATACTGATCCAAGAGGTATCCATTTGCTACTGATGAGAGAAAACTGTTAGCTCAGAATCTGGCATATGTAAATAGTAGAAGAGATGCATTCCACCCTTGAGGTTCGTGGTTGCGTTTATTACTAAGACATTTGCTAAATATTTCAGAACTTCGATGCTTGGCCCAGATTATAGGCCCTTACGGGGTGAAATATCTTGCAGAAAGGCTGACGTGGCATGTTGCCAGTCAAATTGGCGAATTAAACAAGGTGACCGTTTGGCCTATGGCTTATCCTTCTCACTTTCAGCGACTTTGTTTTGCGGACAACTGCACATTACAGATTGTTGTTGCAAATAAAGAAATGCTGCACACGGCAAGGACTCAGTTCGATTGTAACGAGCGAATGAAAGAAGTTATTCAAGCGCTGTCTCATGAACCAAAGGAGAAAAAAGTGAGTGGGTGCGCTAAACAGTCAAGTACGACGTGCAGTAGCCTTTATTGTCCAATAGTAGCATTCGCATACGTCAACTATTAAACCGCAGCTATTTTTTTAGGCAGTCGGTACGTCGGCTTCCGATGCAATTCTCCAGCGGACCTCTATAATTGGTCAGATATTTTGCTTCAGGAATGCCTTGCATGTCGCTTTGGAGCAGGTAGGTGACCATGAGTTTCTCCAAGCAGTTTAAAGATCGCAAGCTGGTCTCTTTCGCTGCGGAGGATGGGGCGTTCCAGGGGTGTGTGGGTTTGGTCGCTTCTTTTTCTTCTTTCGGTAAGCGGCAAGAACGTATAATATCATTTGTATCAGCCGTTTTTCACCGATTATGGTCGCCTAATAGCTTCCGCAGCTGGTGCAGAACGGGCTGGCAGCGCGTCAAACCAAACCCCACTGACACGCCCTACCACCGCAGCGAATAAGGTTGTACGGCTCGCACCATTCAACACAAATACTGAGCCATTAGGGGTGATCCGACTTATCTTCGTACTTTCGAAACTTGTTTTGGGAATGGAATCGGGTTAGTGTCTGCTTGAATATCTCTTCTGATTTCTCATGTTTGTCGTTGACCTTCCACACAGTTTCTGCTGACACCCCCTTAACTCCCTCTTTTTTATTTGGCGCAGTCATTCCGTGTGCGCTTTTGTGACTTCGATACAAAGAAAAAAAAACAAATTTAGGTTCTGCTGAATCGGTTGCCTTTTCTGATGTCTTCGTTTACGAATTTGTACTGCAGCATGGATGACGCTGGCAAATCGGTGAGTATGAGTGAGCCTCCCAGCGTTGAGTGATCTTGAATGGATTTTACGTCAGGCATTGGGCGAGCTAGGTGCCGCTATGGGTGTACAAGGTCCAGTTGATGTTGCGTTATCAAACGCTATACGAGCTCAAAATCTACAGGTTTGAATTTTTGTGGGAATCGATTTTTGATAGACTAGATACACTGATATCGTTGTATTCGGCCGGGCGATTTCAAGAGAGATGTAGTTTGTCCTCGCGGGAACTACTTCAAATTAGCTATTTTTAGATTAACCCTGACGAGCACTACCAGATGAGCTGTTTGCTACTGGTAGCAATAGCGATCAGCCTTCCAAAATTAGCAGTTGTCGAAACAGCGACATATAAACCTAGTCTACGTGGTGAGTAGTGTTCTTTAAGCGTAAAAAACTAGCAATATACATGATGTCCGATTCCAGCAAGTATGAATAACACCCACTGCATTCCACTGGCTGTGAACACAATTGCCGGAGCCTTGTTTCATCATCATGGGCGAGGAGATACACATTTGAGAATGAAGGAGTTCCTTGCGGTCAGTAAGCAGCTCAGTTATCGCTTTTAAACTTTTAAAGTTTCACTCAATTTTTGCTTCCTCGTTGCCTTGCTTGAATTATCACACGGTAGGAGAATATGATTGAGTGATGAAACAAAACTGCTGGTCGCGGCGAAGTGGGGATTGCGAGACAAGGGACTCAAATATCTTTGTAGCATACGATCTCCGAACTTTTGTACCTTCTTTGAATCCAGTTTCACGTTAGTGAGCGATGAGCCAAAGAGAAGGTGCGTTTTTTATTACTCCAGTCACTGTCAGCAATCAGTCTACGCTCTACATACTGCTCGAACAGGTGCTATCATTTTTGTTGTATTGTTGTTTACGGATCTTCGTATGTAGTCAGTCGTTCACAGTGGGTGGCGTGCGTATCCAGTACAACTCCAAAATGAATGGGAATAGGCGCATTTAGTCATAACAAATCGTGGCTAGTGAGACTTAAATACGAATGGAAAGGTACCAAATAACGCAAAGTGTTAGAAAAAGACATCACTAAAACGTTTCGGGTCACGTGATACACATGGTGTGTCATATGTTTTTCTTTCTGCGCTGTTTTATGTGGTCTACTTGGCATCTTTCTTCATGCTTTAAAAATATCAGAAGACGCTTTTGGGCGCAGAACACACATATCGCCCAGGAAAGTAAAACAGACGAAATTACCGATTACCGATTTAAAAAGTGAAGAAAAGATGAGGAGATGCTCGCTTAACACGTTGACGACGAGCCATTTTTCCCATGACTTGCGCGTGGGACGGCACATTTTTCTACATTGAAACTTAGTAATTTCCAAATAAATGAATTACTACGACAAAATGTATCGAGAAATGCAAGAGACGAGTATAGCAATCTCGAATCTTTGACACAATTTAGCTCTTATTGCTCCAATCTTCCAAAATCAGGCCATTTTTTACCAAATTCTTCCTCTGGAGACAGAACTGACTAAAATTTGTCTCCCGGGGTGGTTTGATCTCATAAAGAACAATATCGCTTGCCCTCGACCCGAAAATGTTTGTTCTTGAACTAATTTTATGAAAAGTAAGTGAAACAATCGCGCAGATTTTGAGTTATATAATAACTGTGGGAAAGCGACGCCGTTCCACAAGACAAACTTTCTGTCGTCCACCATTGACGGAAATCCTCGTCAACAGGTGCGTTAAGTGACATTGATATTGTTTGATTTGTAGGAGGTCGGTTCACCGGCAGGTAAGTTTCCAGGAAATTCGAGGATCTAGGCACTAGTTTGGCAGCGCGTGGCCTTAGGCATTTTTGTGTGGCATTAGCTTTGTGATGCGTAAGTAGATGGGGTCATAGCTACCCCAGAGACAAGCTTTTTCAGCGACTTTGGCGGAACTAACGGTATTTTGGCCGCAGCGTCCTCTGGGCCGGGCGGTCAAGCATTTTCGTGGGAAACGACCATTGATATTCGTGTTTAGGGCTTTTAAGCACCCCACGACGAGCAAGTTTCAAGATTTGGTGACCTAAGGTATTTTGGCGCCGGCGCCTGTGGCGCGGACGTTTGGGCAGATCCGGGCCAAACCACTATGCTGTTCGTTTCGGAATTTTAGTCTACTCCTATAAAGCCTTTTCGAACATACTTGGTTGTTTCGCCCGTCTTATTAAGAGCATAATGCTGTCAAAACAGCATATGTCCGACCACCGGTCCTTACGGTTACTGGCGGTCCGGAATGGATTAACAGACGAAACGTTACGCCGCGTGCTGTCAGGACTGTATCCTTGCACGTTGGGCGAGATCAATCAGGTAAGCGCGTCGAAGCTACTACCTCCTCGAGCCGAACTGCGCCCGAGCACAATGAAAGCTTCCAGGTTGAGTGAATGGGCGCATATTTCCCATACTCCGACCTCCAGGGCATGCTACGCCGTCCAGACGGAACGCGGCTACCATTCCCTTTCTGTGCATTTGTTCCACACCGTCCGCCTAAGGCAGCGTTCAGACCTTAACGCGCTACAGCGTCGCGCTACTGCGTCGCGCCTTAACAGAGAAAAGTGTAAGGTTGCGGAGTTTCTGAGAAATTCACGGAGAAGGTGAGACTGATAACAGCTGTAATGCTACTGAACCATCCTTTGACAGTTAACCCATACTCCACTTCATTTTTCTGGTACTGCTTTTAGCGTAACAGTGTCCTTCTGTCCTATTAAGAGCATTTTCTGCAAAAAACACCCAAAGAGTACTCGCGCCACCTAAAAACACGCACGCATGTTTTTTTTACCGGAGACAGAAGAACCATAAAGGAATTTCTTGTTTGCCTTGTGTTAACGCATAGCTGACGCAGAACAGGTGGCTTCTGCGCGGGCCTGTTGTGGGAGATAAAGCTATTTTAAGCTCCTAGACCAAAAAAAGTACACACGAAACAGTCCCAAGCTTTACTTGGCGTGAATGCCTCCGAAAACCGGCCATCTTTTTCCTTGTGATCCAGGCAGAGAGGCAAATCGAAAAGCAAATTCGCTCGCTGTAGCGCGACCGCTGCAGCGTGACGTGCTGTATCGCTAACACAGTCCTGAATCGCTGGCATGAAGCACCTGTCACAAGTCTGTGACTCATACCAGTTTCTCTCCAGAAAAGACATTTGGCAGAGCTTCCCGATACGTTCGAATTGTAGGGTGGGCGAAGAGTATCGATGCGCGCAATGAACTCTGATACGGTGGTCCGATGGCGGTTGAGCGGTTGGACGATAGAATGCTAGCGCCGACGCCTATGTGCGTTTTTCCTCTTAGAAGCCGAACACAAAATACAAATATACCCATGCTATTTCTTTTCGCTGAACGCGCGCGGCTTTTCTGAGCGGTTTGGCGATTTCTCCGATCTGAGTACGTATTCATGCTTTCGCCGAACGGCTGCTGGCGCAGACGTGCGCAATGCGCTAAGGGATGTGTTTAGTACTTTTGCGCAGCGTAGCGTAGCGCCTTCAGCGTGTCACTAAGCATTGATCGCTAGCGTTTGTCAGCGCGCGCAGGACTAGAGAGTATGTGAGAGTAAGGAAAGCTGCAAAATACTGCAGCGAAGGGTATAAAGAGTCAGCAGAGTAGCAAACACTCAGCGCGCCGCTATAAGAGGTATAAGAGAAGTAGGAGAGTACAAACTACTCAGGCGGCGCTAGAGGGTAGAAGAGTAGGAGAGTACAAAATACTCGGCGGCGCTAGAGAGTATAGAAGAGTAGGAGAGTACAGAATACTCTCCTACTATCCCATAGTCTCTACTCCCTGCCGCTGCACAGCGCTAGGAAACGCTGATAAACGGCTGCGTGAAACGCTGGGAGCGTCTCTAGATCGATAATCCGAATGCTATAATCCCATGCCCCTGGCCACGCAGCTTATCTGGAAAGCGCTACGCTGCCGCAAAGTTGTATCGCAGCCTAAGGCGTCTCGCATCGTCTTCTGATCTTCCAAGTACTCCGTATCTGCAGCTTTCGAATGCGGTTGGAACGCAAATCCGAATGGGATGATGATTGATTCATTGCTCATTCTGCAAACTGTGAATCAGATGACGACTATTTCTAGAATGGGATTGATGAAAATGAAGCTTCAGTACCCAGCTTGATCGCCTGTTGGCAGGTCCTTTGATAGTAAGCTTATTTCTGCTGCGACGTTGCTGGTACCATGTTGTTAACGACCACTGGCTCCCTTAGGAGGCGGACTGCGTAGAAACTACAAATACAACAAGTTCTGTATAGCCAGTTTGTGAGCAAAATGCCTGGTCTGCAATGGACCGTCCTGAGGCATTGCTGTTTCTCCATACAATCTTGTAAGGACAGCCCTATCAACACAGTCTACCAGCAAGAAGCTGATACCTTTTAATAAAAAAGTTTTTTCCTTTAAGAAATAAAAAAAAATCTAGTTTATTAGTTTTGTCAAGATTGTGTAGCCCTTCTAGCATCTCTGAATTCACAGTGTTTCTGCGAGCTGTTAATTGTTGCTCGCCATACTAATCAGCAGCGTTTTCAGTCTAACATAATGTTACTATACGCTAGTATTACTGCATGTTTGAGTTACGTGGACCGTTCTTCTAAGTCTTTCCCTTTTAATTTATATCCTTTCTTACAATCAGTTATCCATTTTTGCTACAGGTATGTAGGAGGTGGCAATTGACAATGGTATTAAAGCACCTTTAATGTTGAGACATCAGCGCTTCATCAATCTACCAATGTTCTTATGTTAGGTCCTGTTATGCCGCCTTCAGCAGATTCTGCATCTGGCTGTCCATCATGAAATGTAGGTAGCAAGTCATCATCAGGGCAACTTGATTAGGCGCGTCAAAGGTTCGCAGATTCGGCGCAATCATGACGTGGCGAACAGCTGTTTCCAGCTGGTTCAGCCATCACACCGCCTAATTTTCACTGTGGCTGCTTTTTTCGAAGGGGCACTGTTGCTTTGTTTTCACATCGTGAAGTTACGGTGAGATTTCTTCTCTAATTTTTTGCAAAACAATTGAATAACTGTAACCAGCACATCCAAACGAATCCTGAAGAAATCTGCAAACACCGATACAGAAACAAATCAAGGAAGATCCAAAGACGTCCTTGTTATACTCCATAGAGACGAAAACAAAAAAAAAACAGATTAATACACAGTGCGAAATTAGCAGAAGAAACTGCCTAAATAGGCTGGAAACAGCTGATGGCCACGTCGTCGACGCGCCGCACCGCGTTTGCAAACCGCTTGACCGTCTAAATCACTGCTTCGGATGACGAACAGTACATTGTGATCTTGTAGCCAGTATGTGGATCTTTGTAGCCATATACTCTAAACAGTGTGGTCTGACCTTCTCACAATTACAGTAGAATGCTCGGTGGGGAGATCCTACGACCATGCTCTCGAGCGGACAGACGGTTGCGTGACGGTGGAAGGCGGAGAGCTTACTAGGGAGGTCGTTCAGGACGTGGAGCGCTTTTTAAAAACGGTTTTTTGCATGATGTGGGGTCACGTGCATGGAGTACCAAACTGGTGTTCATTTTTCCTGAACGCCTCTGGGAATGCCAAAATGGAGTGAAAAAGAAGTCCATGGAAACCGACTGTTTTTGAGCCTGAATGGGCTCTAAATCACTCGCAACTTCGGCCAGTTGACTGCACTATAGGTCCCTTATAAAGGTGTACTGTGTATCGGTGAGAACAATAGTAGCCGCCAAACTGGGGTGCTTACTTGTGGCACGTAGTTAAGAGTCGACGGCTAGTTGGATGGGCTCTTAAGCAATCGAAGTGGTAGCTGCGCCAACGATCGATGGCCTAGGGGATAGCGTGGAGATGTCATAGCGGGAACGTGGGATGGGGATGATGGTTCGACTCCCTTGGCTTGCACGTTTTTGCATTTTTTATTTTCCGTTGTTGCCGCTTCCATAAGGTCTGTTAATGAATTTTACTCGGATATCTGCCATTTATAGGCACATCCTAAATAGTTATACCCCGTAGTGCTATTCAGCAATTTCGATTTCACATACCATTAAGCAAGAACTTGTCTGAAAGTTGAGCTTTATATGTTATTCGGTGCCCTCTGATATCACGAACTTATGCATTTACTTTCAGCCCCCAGTGCCATTATCTGCCAATGTTGAGTCAGGCGTCTTTCTCCCACTGAGTCGCGTATGTCCATTCTTAGGAACTTGGGCAGGCCTATTCGAGTGGCCAAGATTGCGTTGACGTCAAGAATAATGTCAGAATCGTGGTCGGGCCCATCGATTACCCCTGCTGCAAAGTCCGGACAAAAAATTTTTTGACTTTTTGAGTTGTAATGCGACCGATCTGGTCGACAGTGATTTGACCGGAGACGAGCACAACTTTGGACGCTGCGATGACGTAGCGATGACGTGGTGGCCGCCGGGCAGCCGCATCGCGGATTTGGTGCTCATAAAGTCCATTCATACTTGGCATGGGCATGGGTGGCCGCAGAACAAGTGAAAAAACCATCCTGGACATGTCGACCCCCGCGACGGCTCGCTCAACGAAGATGTCGTCCTCCCCTACCAAGAGGAGAGACTCATCCGATTTCTTCACTTTTTCAAATGCACCTGGAGGAATGATGACTATTTTGTTCTTTTTTTCGATGGCGTTTATGGTTGTTGCTAGTTTTTGTCTCCGTACCACTGAATGAGGGTTTCGATAACCAGCAAAAGTACGACTTCAACAAAGTGACTCTTGAGCATAACCCAATGCACAGACTCAAAAAAGTCAAAAAAAATTTTTGGCTGAAAGTTTGCCTATAGGGGTAATCGATGGTCCTGATCACGATTCTGACACTTATTCTTGACGTCAACCCAATCTGGCGTCAGAATGGCCCTGCAAGTCCCTCAAACGAATGTACATAGCGACTCCAGTGGGAGAAAGACGTGGCTCCAAATTGGAGATAAATGGCACTGGAGCTGAAAGTAAATGCCATAGTCGTGATCAGGGCACCGAATAACATATAAAGCTCAACTTTCAGACAAGTTCTTGCTTAATGGTATGTGAAATCGAAATGCTGAATACACAGCGCTAAACTATTTAGGATATGCCTATGAAGTGGCAATATCCGAGTAACAATGCCCATAACAAAACCACTTATTGGAAGCGCAACAACGGAAAATAATAAAAATTGCAAAAACGTGCAAGCCGAGGGGAGTCGAACCATCATCCCCATCCCCACCGTCTGCTTGAGAATCCTCCACGCTATCCACTAGGCCATCCGATCGTTGGCGCAGCTACCACTTCGATGCTTAGGTCTCCATCCCAACTAGTCGCGACCCTTTAGCTACGTCGCGCCCACAAGTTAGATCCCCATTGCGGACTATTTCTCACCGATACCAGTACAACTTTTATAAGGACCCTATAGGCAGCAACTGGCCGAAGTTGCGAGTGATTTAGAGCCCATTCAGGCTCAAAAACAGTCGGTTTCCATGGACTTTTTTCACTCCATTTTTGGCATTCCCAGAGGCGTTCAGGAAAAATGAACACCAGTTTGGTACTCCATGCACGTGACCCCACATCATGCAAAAAACCGTTTTCAAAAAGCGCTCCACGTCCTGAACGACCTCCCTAGTTGCCATCATCCATCACTGTCTCTCGCTCTCTATACATTGATCGCAGCTTGGACACATGCTGCTCGCGAATCTACTCTCTCTTGCCGTCTGGACCTCTCACCCGATCCGATAAATTGCTGACGTCAGCGATGCAGCTGGTTTCTTTTCTGCGATATTTTTTGTTTTTCTGGCATAGTTCGGCTTGAAAAGCTGAAAATTATTCTAGTTTCGACTTCAATTTACAGAAGTGAGTATGTTTTCTGGAATTAGATTACATTTTGCATGAGTTCAGCATGGAATTCTCCTAGAAAACAGTTTCCTCTCAGCCCAATTTTTTTCGAACTCCTAAACATGTCTTCGTTTAGCTTCCTATCGCATACTGACCTAAACTCATTGCAAAATAAATCTGCTTTCATTGGAACTTATGTTCCTTATTCGAGGTGGCAAAGAACAAATTCAGCTTTTTGAAACTGAAAACAATAGGAATCAGTTTGATTGGCGTATCAGCATGTACAATGCGGCGGCCCGTCTACCGCTTGCCAACGGGACGAAGGACCGCCCCGTCGTCCGATGAGAACTCAACTGTACGTTAACATAGCTGTACCACGCATTTTTAGTTCTTATACGTTATAAGATTACGGGAAAGCGATGAAGTGACATTTATCCTTCTATGGGTAGTGATAAGACTGAGGAAGCTGGTTCTGTTGTCTAGTCTGCTGCAATGGGAAGTGGAGCATTAGCACAATCGATCTTGTAGCAGAAGCAGCGGCGGCAATATCGCGTGTTATGTCTTTCAGCTGTGAGTGCAAGCACGGGGGATGTAAAAATTACCGTCGCTCTGGGCGACCCAAGCCACCGACCCCTTCGTGTACCGTTTTCACAATGACCAGAAAATCTTGTTCGATATATTTGCTTTCATTTTCACTGTATAACAGTCAACAGAACCCCGCAAATCCTATCTGCAGCGTCAATGTGAAGTGGCAGTGAAACGGTTCAAATGCGAAAGGCTAGAGTCCAGCAAGCTACGCGTCGTCAATTCGTATGACGAAAACAGAAACAACTATGGCCCGTATTCCTCTGAACCTGAGGTAAACTCAAATCGAAGGGCACGTTCTTGCTCGCATACGTCGCTTGGAGGAGCCAAAATGTCAATGCCAAAGGCGGAGCAATTTGCCTAGGGCTAGGATGGCGATCTGTACTTCCAACGCACGAACGCTTGCATCGGAAGCTCACACTGATTATCTGATGAAGTGATCCAGGAAGATCAACGTACGACGTCGTGCGGACTGAAGATGAGTAATACAGCTCGCCTACACGCCGTCCTACGAACGGAGAGGTTGGTTGTAAGTTCTCCACGACATACTAGTGGCGGCTGGTGGGTGTGGCCTGTCGCTCTGCCTGCCAGCACACGTGTACAAGCGCCTGAAGGGGTATTATGTAGGCTGTAAGGACCGTACCGTAATCGTGCTGGAAAGGGCGAGGAGAGAAACTTCACGGAGGTTACAGGTATAGGTAAATGGTACACAGTTCCACATCGTCACAGGAGTGGGAGCAGAGTGTAGTGATCCTACGCAACCGGAAGAGGAAGACGCTGAGTTTCCATGTACAAAGGAAATGTCAGCGATGAAAAGGAATACTCATTTGTTCGGCGGAAAAAAGGAGAATTCGGATTTCGATAGAACTGTCAACTAGCATTCTGTACCAAGGAGAAAATCTCTGTAGAAGTCTGTGAAAATTTGTGCCTCTTAATCGGAAGCTGACGTGCTCATAGACGAAATCAAAGTCCGTTGAAACTATAGATCACTGCAAGCGATTTCGTTGCCGATAAATTAGTGGGTGGGAATCATTTAATTTCGATGATATGTGGGTAAGATAGACGGCATCAAGCCCTTGCTATTGGTCTAGCTGCTCTACAGAAGGCACGAGATCAGAAGACGTAAGTTGATTGAAATGTCAGACTTCGGGAACTGGATGACATAGGTCCACCCTTTCAAATCCCTTGGTAGAGAAGACGTTTCTTTTGTGGCTCAGCATCTGCATTGGCCGTTTTATTCTGTGCCAAAAAAACACGGGAACGGGCAGTAGGGCTAATGTATACCAAGCAATTCGGTCCCTGCCATACTCCGCCTGTCGGCTATCCGTCGGAAGCAGCCACTCGCTTGGATACCAAGGTCATGTAGGCGAAACAGGCATTACGCGGAAAAGAACACCCAGACAGAGGCGGGAAAAGTGGCGCGCTTGCTATGGTCGGCATGACTGGCCCGTGCGGGTCAGGCACGGAATAGTAGAGAAGAAGCACCTGGTATGAACACTCCTTCCAACTCGCGTTAATGTATCCTTACCTTCCAGGAAAGTGTGGATCACAAAAAGTCAGAAGTAACGCCTCTAGCGCTAATGATGTTAATAACTAGCGCGAAAATGTGAGCGCCCTTCCCTGGAGGGCTCGGTTAGCCTTGTATGTACTGAATAGATGACAGCTTCTAAGAGCAAGTGGCGAGATGGGTTGTTCGTGAATTTTAAGGGCCTACTGTCGCTTAACTACTGAATTAGTCACAATACCAATTGGTGCAGCTTGGTGTACCATGGTGGAGCTGAGGAGGCTCTGGAGCTACCCATATTACTGTTCTGTTAAGGCCCTCAAGACGAAAGCTAACAGATCGAAGTCGTGGTTCAGCGATGAAAATAGGTTCCGATACGATATCGAATGCAGATGGTTACGAACTGAGGAACGTGTCAAAAGGATATCTGAAGGCAGATGCCCACCCCTTCCGACAACAACGTATGTATTCATCTTAATATTAGGTCATCCCATTCAAAAAAGCCGACATCATTCGAATAAAACAAAGAGGAGAAACGATAAAAAGTATATTGTGGCTTTGAGTAGGTAGATCCTCTTCACGCAATGACCGCTTCCAGCGCCACCCGAAGCCTGGACCTCTGGTAACCTTTCGTTTTCAGCGAGTGCGAGTAATGTGCTGTGTGCTGGCCAATTTTGGCAGAAGACAAAACATGTAGCGTGCCGTCGGAGAGTACCTCGACGACAATAACACTTGGAATCGAACGGGCTTCATGTTGGGCGGATGGGGCGATTGACCCCAGGTCTCAGTGCTGTTTGTGTCCCAGCACTACCCTACAATACAGTTACTCGGGGTCTGGCAAGCTATGACGAGCACTGGTGCTTCTTGTAGTTGTGTGGTATCATCCTTTTGTCGATATGATTGCCGAGGAACAGGCAACATACACCGACAGCGACTTTGTTTTCTGTATAGAGCCGCTTGGAAGCCACACTGTGGGAATCCTTCACTACGATGATCATCCACTTGCGCCCACATAACTCCTCATGGTAGAATTGGGGCGGCTTTCTCACCTGCATTCATACAAAATTGACAATTGTGAGTTTTGGCTCGAGGTCCAAGACCACCCATATTTCATTCAAAGCCGGAATGCGTTTTCACAGTCGGCATCTTATGCGGGGAAATTCCCTGCTACAGGATTAGACGGTATGCTTTCGTGTTTCTACATACAAGAACATTAGATACCCATTCGCTACACCGTCTGAACATCCACAATTTATCGACATATTCTCGGCAGGCCGTTGCAGGCAAGGGTGTCAATCTCCAGGAAACTCACATAGAGTCGAACAGCCTCTGTGATCAGACGTTCAGTGCTTGAATTATCCACCTTTTTCTTGCGCAGGGATGAACATTATGGACGCGACTCCACGACAAGAAATTTTTTCCTTTCTCTCTTCTTCGGGTTCCTGAACCATACCTTCCTCCTTGTATTCCGAGAACACCATTACACACAACTACTGGTCCGGCCCAGGTCAAATTTGAGCAGCGCACTTTCCTCTTATGACGCCTCATTTGAAAATCCGGCACGCCGGGTGGATTTTCACCCGCCGGCGACCAGCTCCGGCTCTCTTTCTCCGAGAACTTCTGTGGGGAGGTTCGCCAAATTTCACAGATACATAGCTAAAGGTACTAGCCTGCAAATGGTATAGTAGCCCGTTGCTCTGTCCCTTTGCTTTTTCTGATCTGGCATTCCTCTTATAAGTGTCTTTAGCACTTTGTAAATGGGATCACCTAAATACTCCTCGTCGCACATATATTAAGGCAGGATGTTTTTGAGATCAACAGAATTGAACACTCTACAGTAGGCGAGCTTAGACCTACCATTCTGCTCCTCATTGTCCCCATCCATACTATAATGTATGCATATGACAGTAGAGAGAGGGCGCAGTTCATGCGACTGGGGGAGGCGATGCATTTTGGCTTTCGTTGCTTCACTAGTTTCGCGGTTTAACAAGTTCTGGAAAACTGTGAAAAGGATCTGGTAAAACCTGTCGAACTCTTGGAACAGGGAGCAAGCTCGCAGTCCATAATGGTATAAACTCTGGTAAGTAGAGAAGGGCTGCCTAGATGGGTCGACACATAGATGGGAAGTAGCAAAAGTGCAGAATGTCCCCCCCCCTCGTCGCCGAACGCCGAGAGGAATTCGCACGAGTGAGAAAAGTAGACTGCATTTCTGACGAAGACCAGAGACGGCTCGATTCCTTGACTACAGTTACGTGATGAGAGAATTTTCATGGTGGTCCTGGCTCGAAAGCGTGCAGAGAAACCGAGGATTACGGCTGCCAAGGCACCAAACATCAAACGATGCAAAAAAATACCAAAATAGCAAACAAAAAATAGCAAAAAAATGAGCATGGTCTTTTTCCAAGGGAAGGGGAACGCAAAAGAGGTGATAGTTTCTTACGCAGGCAGTAAAACTTGGAATTGTAAGGCTTGGCCAGCGCCAGTAACAACCTAGACTCGCTGAGAAAAACTGTGTGATAAAGGAAATGGGTTCGAGTTGTTCGTAGGCCGCTAAGTCTGCTCGTCTCTGCCTCTCGTCTGTCTTCCATAGCTACAGTCCTCATCATTGCGGACCGGTGGGGGGCGTCAGCCAGTATGAGTGTCAACTGTGAAGCCGTTCTCAGCCTTTGTTGAAACGCGTATGCGACAAAAAGTGGTAGAAAACGAGTAATACGAAGGATATAATACAGTAATGTCACTTGCCCGCTTCAACAACTGGTGCAGAACGACTTTGGCACCGCGCCAAACGCAGCCGCACTGACACGCCCCACCGGTCCGCAAATGGGGACTGTACGTCCCGCACAGCCCACAGGTATGCCATCTGGCAAGACTAGTTCAGGTTCTTGAAGTTCCCCCTATTGAAAACTCGACTTCAGCGCATATCTCTAAGTGAACCGCCACCATCAACGGACGAGAGCGAAGCCTTCTGCCTCCGTGGCTGAGACGACGAATGAAGAAGAAAAAGAAGAAGAAGCCCTTTTCAGTATCAGGACAAAACAAACTCTCATGAGCGTGTTCTCTCTCGGTAAGAACAAAAAGCTTATCACTGGAAAACAGTCCCTTTATTGAGAGGGGAGCGCGGACAGGACACTCAAAACTATGCCGTGCAGCTGGACAGTCCAGCTGCCATTAGCAAAAGAAGAAAGCTTCTAAAAAGTGCAAACCGAGCTCACCGGGCGCACATTTTCTTACCTGGACGCCTGACTTTTGAACCACTAAGTCGTGAAACAAGTTTCCCTCTAACTGATAGCTCACGCCCGAGTGGATCTCCGTGCCGTAGCTGCTATTTTTCCTTGATCCTCGTTTGAATCGGCAGCCCTAAGTATGGGCAACGACATCTGTCGCACAACTTGCATCTTGTATTGAAAGAGCGAGTCAGGTTCTCGAGGAACAAATCAGCTTTGCCCCCAAGGAAGTCCTTGCCCATGTCTGCGAGAAGGCGGCCGGCAACTGAATATCTAAACCACTTCCAGCGATTTGGAGCCCACGGAAGTGGCTGGCACTGTGGCAGCATCGCGCGATAGTCCTGTACAGCGGCACCGCGGTATCAACTAGACCTCCATGCGAGGACCGTTCCCAACGAGCCTAGCGTACAGTAGCCCTCCCCAGGCTACCACGTAAACGCCTCATGTGGGTTGTATCAGCGAAGAACCTTCAGTTGCTGCAAATCGCCTCATGTGGTTGTATCAGCGAAGAACCTTCAGTTGTCTGCGAATCCGAACGGAGCTCTAGAACCCACGTAATAATGTTCCAACATATGTAATGTATACATACAGGATTGCTCGGTGCAGAAGCTAAAGCGTGTCAGGGATTCTGGATGTAGCGCTGCGCCAGCACAATTTCCATCGATTCTTGTCGCTTGCCCCCTCGCAACAATTGGTGGAGCACAGAGGAGACGTTCTCCACCAGTTGTTGAAAGGCTCACTGTTCACATTCGGAACCTGGAACACGTTTTCATTCTTGCAGGAGGAATGAAGATCGAAAATATCGACCTCGACGTAAGTCACTCCTCCCATGAACTGGTATCAGGGATCAGCCTTTCTCTCTCATGTGATGAGGCTCAGCGGAAAACATGGCAAAATGAGGTGGGTTTCAATCCAGTGGTATATTTGTGAAGCAATGTCGGTACCTTCTGTTGATGTCGTCGCAATCAATCGGGGCGGTGTGAAAAGACATGGAACAGCCTACCCGGCCGCTTACTATCACTGTTGTTTTCGCCCTGATTCGATCTGAAATGGTAGTTAGCCAATCACTACTGGTAGGGATGGACAGACGGGGCAAGCTCATTCCGCTCGTGACACCACCCCGACTCTTTGCGGCGATATCAACTATTCAGTGCTTGGTGCAGGCTTAGAAATACGTAACCAATTACTTTGAGGGAAGGGCGACTTTGTCACAGGGGTGTAGTTGATGTGTGCAAAGTGTGTTCGTGAAATCGCCACTGGTGAGAAGTTATGGGACAGGGGTGCACAGTTTTGTCCCATAATCCAGCGGCTGAGATCAAAGCTCTGACAAAGATGATGACGGCGCGAGGTAGGACTAGTGAAGCCCTCCGCTCACATACGGCTTATAAAAAGCAAACAACAGCGGTACCAAATTCTTTGTTTTTTGCCGAGTTATTTCATTGACCTGAAGGCCGCAGCTATTCTTTTGTCTTCAGACAGACTCCACTATATCTTGGTATGTGAACAATGAGGAGATTAAAAATCAGAGGTTTGATTGGAGAGTCACTATTTCTGCAGAAGGAATATTAAGTAAGTGATCATTGAAAATTAGCATTATCTCCTGTTCCGAGGCGAGGTGTAGGTTAAAAGTGGTCGACCCATACCGAGGCCAGTCAAGCCTTGTACCCTCCGGGGACGGTAAATTGGTACCAGATTCGTCTGGGAGGATAAAACACTGACTTGTACATCGGCTGGCCACCGCAAGTCATTGTATAGGCCACATCGCATTCAATAAGCCACTACGATTCTGAATGGAAGTAGAATGCGTGCCGCATCCCACAAAGCAACGGCGAAGATTTTATCCTTTACTTTATCTCTCTTTCATTTTCGATGTGAATAACATCAAAATGAAATCTATCTTGATGTGAAGAAATATCGAAAGGCTCCCAACCAGGCACGCTGCCTTTTTCAGGAACTGCCATTTTTTTTCTGTATGCTAGCTCTGCCGTCGCCCTAAGTGGTATGGGCATGATGGCCGGGGACGGACGGTTGCTGCCAATGCTAATGGTGAAAGGGCTGCGAGAAAGCGTTTGGCCTCACCATTCTCCGCCGTTCCACCAATAACCTTACCAGCAACCCCCCCCCCCCCTCCCATCGTGCCCGTTGCCTTTAAACTGATTGATGTCCTCGATAAAGCACATTACCAGCCTGTAGCTGTCCTTATAGGATTTCCACCTGTTGCTTCCCTGTGCTACGAAGTCCGCTCCTTTAAATCAGATAGCTCTCAGAACTCAAATGTTTGTCAGACCATTGCGGTCTCTGATCCAAGCCCTCAACTGGACTGGGGCTGTTTGCTAATCTTGGCGATTTCACTTCTTACTTTTTGTCCCACCATGAGCATCATATTTTAGCAGGTTGAAGTTCCCTCTCATGGCTCTTGGCCGTAGGCAAACACTTTTAGCTTTTGCAGATATCTGGCCTCTCATGGAAGAAGATGCGGGCCATTACGAGTGTGCAGTAGATGGTGGTATAATGGGTTCTGCTCTCATAAACGTGATATCGAAATCGGTAAGTGAGCACTAGTTTGTTAACAAAAGTATCCAGCGAGAGGTTTGTAGACTCTACCAAACAGCTTCATATCCTATAATAAAAACACGAATGCCAGCAAACTTCATCATTTTCCATGGAACCGTGCTATTTTTCAGACGATTTAGAAAAGAAACTAGTGCGGCGAAAAGGAGAAGGCAGGTTTTGCAGCAAATCTCCGCCCACGTTAGGTTAGGCAATGCACCTTGGAGTTTTCAATTGGTAAAATCGAGTTCTTGCCCTGAGGCTGACTATCTCCTACTATGTTGGCTTCACGACTGTCGGGAACAGTAGAGTACGTGTAGAGAACAGAGCGAAGAGGGTTCACAGGGGGAAAACACTTGGCTTAGGGGCGCGCTTGAAACTCCCACTGCAAATAGTGACGAGACAACTGAACCTCCTGGCACTATCACCGGGCATTGGTTTCAGTGTTTTAGAATCCGTCGAAGCGACGTGCTTGGGGTCCCTGAAGCTGGCGTAACAGAAGCAAAGTAAGCAAGCTGTGCCTAGGTAGGCGAGAGAAACCGGAGAATATGTGGGAATTGTTCTTGAATTATGAGCCCTGGTGACGTTGCCCACATGGGTGGACGCTAACAATCTGACTTCTTTAGAGCACCTGCACTCCAAAAACCAACCTTTGAAGTTGCGGAGCTTCAAAAACCAACCTTTGAAGTTGCGGAGCTTCAAACCTTGGCTGACGCAGATACTGAAGGTGTTTCTGAGCACGACGATGCGGCGAGATGACTTCGACGGTAGAAGCTATGAACGAACACTTGCTATTGCTGACAGAGGAAATCTTGAAAATATTCACCTTAGGCTCTCCATGCACCTCGTCACCTTGGGCGACGTAAACTTTGAGGGTATGCGCCACCAGCAGTGTTGTTCGCACTCCCGCCCCATGCCGCACTCCGTGTAAACGATTTCTTTGGATCGCGCTCACAGTGGCGTATGCGCCATTAGCCACCCTGTGAGGTGGAATACAATTGTTCTAAGCTCTCTGCTGCTATTTACAGTAATTAGTACCACTTTCTCAGAAGCACTCTTTAGGACGCTGTGATGAATGGCCTATACAACTACTTTTATGTAGCACTGTTCTATATACCAGTTGCTGTGTACGCGATAATCCTTGTCAGTAGAGATCTTACAAAACCGCCGAGAAAATCAAAAAGAGAAGACAAAATGGCAGCTTTTCTTGAAGAACACGTACTCAAAAACGGACAAGATGTGAAGGTTGCTTTATTCAATGTTCTTGCATGTCATATGTTACTTTCGGCTCAGTCTCTGCTAACCACGAGAATGATAGTTGCATTCCTAACTATAGCAGCAAGTCTGTGATTCATCATCAACACCAGTGAATAATAATTTCGTAGGAAAATATTGCGAAAATCATATACGGGGATCAATTCGAAGAGAGGAAAGAGGAAATCACGAAGACAATGGCAGCTGGTGTCGCTCCGAATGGTATTTTTTGATGTCTAGCTGAAGAAGCCCGTTGAAGATGTCTTCAAGCGTAGGGATAGGTTGACTTATGTCAAATCTCGAAGGAGTACAAATTCAATCTCAGGGTTACCTGTGTCACAGCGGCCTCTCCTTTTATTGCCCAGTATTCGTCCTAATCGCACATTTGCAAAAAAAAACAGAGTCAGCTTGTGCCCAGATAGGCTTACCAAAAATTGAATTGAAGAACGTCGGAGGTAAAGGAGAGGAAACCCTCAACAAGAAGTTACGTTGGTAGCTACCAGCTTAGAGAGGGAGAACGTTTCCTCCATCATTGTGTCACACCCCCCCCCTTCGAAAATGTTTTGTTTTGTTTTATATATACTATTGTTACTTTCCTTTCCTCATTCGTGCGAATTCCTCATCCTTGTAACCATAGAATGATAGAGATGCGGTTTGTGCCTGTGAAAAATGTCCAATGCTTGAGCGTTCTTGCCCATGACCTTATCATTACCGTTAGCGTGAACCGTTTTCTTGGAAAACATTTATTTAGTGAGTAGCAGGAGACATGGACGGCGACTGGTGTACACAGTGCCTTCCTCACTGTCTCTTCTAAACTAGTTGAGAACAGGGCCGGTAAGGGTAGGTAACTAATGGTCAAGGGTCTCCACCAATTTTTTTGCTCTCTCAATTAACACGAAGGCGCGTTCGTGGAGCTACCCGTCCTTTGTATCGTTCTCAGGTCGGGGCATAAGTTTCTAGCGAACTTCATAGGAATTTCATCTGACGATTGACTGATTGACTTGATTGAACTGATTTTGACGGCACCACTTCGGAAACCGGTATCGATGACTTGTACACGGGAACTGTTAGAAATCCTGATCACGAATGTGGCACTCATTCTGGGCGCCGACTATTGTAAGCACTCTAACCATCTGCCCTTCAACGCTGATGGTAAGGCTGGTCTGAAGTGAATCACTCTCTCTCCCAGGATCAGCCTTAGCAGAGCGCTAGATGGCGCCAGCGTTAAAAAATATGCTGTATTGGTGATCAAGGAATCAAATACCTGTTATGCAAAATTACCTCGATTTTGTTGAAAAGGGTTGTAGCGCCAAATGGTGCCAGCGCCGAAAACAATTGTCGCATCCGTGACCATGGTACGGAAACTCCTATAGGCGAAATTTCAGCTGTCCGGGGCGCGGCGTCTTCGTGTCTAGGGGGTGTGTAGTCGAACACTGTCCGATGGAAGCTTTATTCGGCAAGAGTAGAGGACAGATAGGGTAGAATAGACTGAGATCAGGCGGCTGGAGCCGCCTTATATACTGGTGAGCACGTGAGTACCATGAGGTCGTGTGAAGAGATACAGTACCAAGTGAGCTTCAGAGTGTTTCGCAATAGTGAGCTAAGGC